CGATGTAGGTGTAATGAAATCATAAGACATACATTTCTGACAACCCCATGAGTTACCACCAACACCACCCTTAAATTCTCGGTTATTCGACAAAGAAAGTTGTTGATTCTTAAGTGTGGAGGAACATAATGCTAAAAATCACACAAACTCGATTATTACTCTGCTAGGGTGAGAGACCGATTGATGGGCCGATTCCTGCCTACTAGAAATGACAGCGACACCACGGCAAAAAGAAACACCCAAATAGAAGGCACAAGAAAAATAATTTTCAAAGAACCATGGCAATCACTCCACAACCGCAATCATTAGTCACCTAAAAGAAGTGTCTCGTGAAAAAACGCCCAGGATTTATTCAGACGAGGTGGGCTAGTGCTAACTTCGCGTGTAGAGCTGCAGAACTGCTGAAATGGTCTGTGCAATTCGCACAAACCACTGGCCATTCGCAGGTCATAATTGGGACACCCAAGGATAAACACCTGGCGCCCTCCACTTTGCTGTTGTTGTAAGAGTATCAAGAAGAGATGCAATGCTTGGAGTATTCACACACTCTCCAATGTCCCTGTTCTGAGGCCAACTTTAATTGCCGACACTTCAGTCGGGTGGAGGTGAGTAAAGCAGCAATATGGGGAGGATGAAAGGAGTCCTACCGACCAAAGTTGCAACTATTGCCCAAATTTAAACAAATTGCTATTCATATGAGTAAGCAAAGTCATGAATGTTGCAGTACCATTCGAGCTTTAATATTGCAATCCTTTCGATCGGTATTTATGTAGGTTAAAGTTCATTAAGGGTAGCAAATAAAGCCAGAATGGAGCGGTAGATGGACATGCGAGTATCTCCCTTCTATGGGCTGAGTATGCATTAAATGGAAGGAAACTAACTAATTGAAGTTAACTTAAATGCTTCAAATCCATCCTTTCATGACATCACATTGTCAATGTTGGCGACCCTTACAAAATTTTAAAAAAGGAAAAGAGGTTTTTATAGCTTTTACAAGAAGTCAAACTTTCAGTTTACTACATTGTGGTGAATACACTGTCATAGCGCCCAAAGGCCACACACCTTTAACCTCGATTGCTTCTTGCACGTATACGCTTGGCTGTAAGTAAATAAGCAAAACCTTATACTCCACCTAAACAACCTTTTAGCAAATATTACTGGTGCTACTAACTTTTATAAGTAGCATTGCTCTAAAGCTCGCGTTTTTGCAGAGTATTAGTAGCGAATTACTTTGGCTTATCTGAAGATTAAATCGTGCCAAACCCTCATCAGATTTAATGCTTCTTACCTGACGGTAAAAAGTGAGAACTGGCCGGTTTATCTAAGCATGTTTGGACAGCTGTATTCAGTTTGGCCAACAACCACTTCTCACCGCTCTTACAATAAAAAGTTGATTTTATTACGATAATAATTCCTACTGTACTATGCAAGCGCTTTAGCCCTCCACAGCCCTGCTCCACCCAATGCATTTTTGCTGCCGTTGATTTCAGAGTCATCCTCAGGCGCCAGTTATGCATTCATTGTTATATAGATGGTTTTTAGTCATCTTCTGGCTAAGCTTTCATCGATATTGTTCGTTAAATTCGGATGGCTAATGCTCGTAGTAAACAATGCCTGCAGAAGTTTAAATCTATGTCTAGTGGCTAATGCTAAAACAACGCCAACATGAGACTGGTAGGAACTGCTCATAATGAAACTGCCTGCTAAGCGTTTTGGAACTCGTGATTGGTGTTAGACACCAAAGCGCATCCTCAAAACACTATTCAATCGTGTTGTGTACCATCGCACTTTTTTTTGTTTTGGAGCAAACATTGCAAAGAGAGTCAATTAATGCACCAAGTGAGGCTGACGTAGTTCACTTCCTAAAGCAGATTACGGATTCTTTAAACACTTTTAATTTGCAAGTTTCCCATTATGGTTTTCAAGCGTTACTTTGACTCGAATTTAGGTGGTTGTGCGACAAGTATACTGCTGTTCCAGCCTCACACCACAGTCAGTAGTGCCCTAAAATCTCCATTATACCATCAGATCATATAGTAAATCAGTAAAGCACTGCCAATTGTGCCAATGAATTGACCTATCCACAACCTTGACAAAGACCCAAGTTAAAAAAGAAAAAGAAAAGTGTGTTCATGAGGGGTGTCAAGATTGGACAATCACAAATGCGAAAATGCATCACACATTGGAAGTACCACACACAAGGAAAAGAGAACTCGATTACATAAAATTAGCATTGAAATTGTCGGTCAAGAGGGTGCAGACAACACTTTAGAGCGAACAAGTTTGAAGCCAGAAGCACACACACGCAAACATTTGGGAGGAGAGATTTACCGGTGGTAACAATTAGAGGTGGAGTGGAGGGGAATTGGGGTGGAAGAGGTGGACACTTTGAGTGTGAACGCGCACAAGACAGTGAGGTCAAAACCGTAAAAAGACAAGCGACGACACACACTAATACACATATACACACAATTTTACACACCAATCACATTAACACATGTCCTTCCTCTCTTCCTCCTTTTCAACCTCCTCCCTTCTCCCTCTCTCTCTCTCTCTCTCTCCCCCATTCTCAGACTGTGTGCGTGTGCGTTGGCCTTGTTCGAGGCTTAATCGTCTAAAATAGATCAACATAGGGAAATTTCATCACGTGTACACTTTGCGCATTCGTTCAGTCATGCATTTGTTCTTTTGTACAAACCAAAAACTAAAGATTTTTGCATATCGGGTGAAAAAAGGGACTAAGGAAAAGAGGAGGCGTATATACACAGGATACTAGGTATCAACATGGTGACTAGAAGCTGAGGTGAGGTCATTCTTTCTTGTTGGTGTGCATGATTGCACTGACAACTTAGAAGAGTGCTGCTGCGAATCCTGCGGTCCGAACTTCCGAATATCAATAATGGTATTTGAGTCCATCACCGCTTCCTCTTCATCCTCATCATCCTCGTCAATAGCACTGCCGAAGGTAGATCCTAGACCACGAAGCTCATCCTGATTGAGAGGCTGAAAGCCGTCGTAGCGTTTCCACTTGCTTTGCCGACGGCACCGTCGCTGAAGGTGAGCAGGCTTGCGCATGGACCAAAATTGACTCTTGCGACTGCGGATGAGGATCAGCGCTATTATCGTCACCACTGTACAGAGTGTGACAATGGTGCTGATGATGAATACCTTTTGTGTCAGGCTTCGAGACGTCGAGGGATAAGCGAGGAAGGCTGCTTTACTTTCATTGACCTTTGTCATCTTCTTTTCGTCCTCACTTGCCTTAGCTAATTGACGGATAAAATAGCTCAACTGTTATCCTAACCTCTGCAGCTGTGAGCAAACCATTTACACTCCCTCACCATTTACTACTTAAGGGACGCAACACTTTCTAAGTGCTCAAGCTCTTCACTTCTCTCACTTCAGACACCTAATCCGCCTGATTGTGACTTGCTGTGTTCCACTGAAGTAATTTTTTTCTTTTCATCGTCTTTGTGTACCTTTGACAAATGAAATGAGTGCGGGTAAAGTGGAAGACTAGCACTGCGTTGTGAGTAATCTCCGACCTCTGATCCTCTCCGTGTGGAATATCATTAAAATCCAAACCAGCATCTGAAGTTGCACTGCAAAATGTCACTGGGTGAATCTTTTACGACTTTCACAAATTTTGTGAGAAAGAAATTTTGTAGTCTGAAAAGAAAAATTGTAAATAGTATTTCCTAATCAAATAAGCAGAGATTCACATGAATCCTTTCCTACCGTAGAAACATTATTCTCGTGT